TACAATTTACATCATTTAGGAGGCGGGCTTCTGACCCTGCTAGTCAGGGCCAACCCGGGCAAAGAGGGACACCACATCCCGGCAGAAAGACAGAGATACACGATAAAAATTCTCCACACCCAGGTCTCCCGCCTGCGACAGCGAAGCGCCTAACTGCTACACCACAGACGCCAGTAGGTATACATTATATAAATACATACATTATAGGATAAGTATAAATTTAAGACATATATAGCAGATACGTTTTAAATCTCAGAATACATTGCAGGCTCGTGAAAGAAGTTGTAATATCCAGACCACTGTTTGATATATCATTCTGCCACAAAATACGACAGTCACAAATGTATCTGACTCTAAGCCACCGAAGCTCTAGAACCCTGTGTCACCGTTACAGTTCATAACACATCCAGGGTTGTGTGTGACATGCTGACACATGACACTAGATAGACACTACACACAACACACCCAGTCAGATGTGTGACACATCAACACCTGATACACACAACACATCCAGACAGAAGTGCCACATGCTGGTATTCAATACACATAACACACACAGAACACACACTTAGAGTGCGACTCACAAACACATCGGAAATAATTCTTACTATCTTCTAAATCACATTCTTCTAGCACAGACTGACAGACGCACCAGGCAGCGCTGTCTCCACCACAAAAACCTAACTCTACAAAACAAAACAGCATGTTAAAGAACTGACAGAAGCAGACAAAGACAATTTACCTACTTGTCGACGATTCATCATGTTGCAGCTACTGAACTGACTACTGACAATTGGGTGAATTATGAGAAGAAAAAAAAAAGAAGTCCAAAAAAAAAAAAGTGCCTTACAAAGAAAAATTGCTGCTTATTTACAATAGGTATACCCTGATGTTAAGTTTTAGTAACAGTTTTACAGAACTTGCACTTATATAAGGTTATATAAATGCCAAAGATTAGAGGTGTTACTAGAGAGCAACGTACAAAGAAAATAGGTAGGAGAGATAAGGACGATAGATGTTTGATAGGAGAGAAAGAAAGAGAAAACCACACCAGAGCACCCACCAACCACCCACACAGAACTATCCACACATCGAGGCAGCAGTCACGCCGTCATCAACTTTTTTTCCCCAGCTCACAACATGTCTCGGAACGTCCAGCACAACCGTAACATAGTCAGGTCAAGGTCATACCATGACAAGCCACACACGTAACGCACAGACGATAACCTGCTGATGAAAAAATATCTAAGCAATGATAGAGCCACTCTTCTTTCATAATTTATTAAGTAATCCTTCCCTTTTAAATTTAAATGTTTTTAAGCCTCATCAGCACAATTTTGATCATTTAGGAGACGGGTTTCCTCCCCTGACTTTTTGGCCCAAACTGGCAGAAAAAACCGAGATACTTAACAAAAATTCCCTTCCCACTTGGGAATCAAACCCGAGTCTCTTGCATGCAACAGCAAAGCACCAAACTGCTACACCAGACACTGGGTTTTTGTTTTTTGGCTGGGTTTTTTTTTTGGGGGGGGGGGTTGAAGGTTGCACCTAACCACAAAACAAAACAAAGAAAGAGTAAAGAATGGCTCCGTCACAGCTTGGAATTTCCTCAGTAGGTCATTGTCTCTCGCGATAAGTGTGTCACTTTTCATGGAATGACCCATCACATGACTTGTCTAGCACCGAAGAACACAGCAAACACACACAGCTGACCACACTTTAGCAAATGGAACGAGTAAGTTCATCTGGTTAGCTGCAACCCCGCCTGTGAGAAAACTAGGTCAAGCTGTTCACAACAGACGACCATAATTTACTTTTACTAAAGATGCTTAAAGACAGTTTTCTCATTGAGCGCACGCTGTTTATACCTACAGTCATGGAAAAAGGAGAAAAAGGTGATCCTGTTTAAAAATGTCTTTGTACAGAAAACTCTTTAGAAAGCAAAGCAAAAAAAAAAAGTTAGTAAATCACGAAAGCCACAAACCCTTAAGCTAGCATGTCAGAGGACAATTCTTATCTTTCGTCTAAAAGAATGTACCATGGAACATTTAATGTAGCTGGCCTATCCTGGAATATTTCCAATTTATACACAAGTCAATGCCGTGCGTTGCAAATACAGCATAATGCACATCATCCTGACGCACGTTGCAAATACGGTACGGTGAATATCATCCACACCGCACGGGTAAGGGGAAAAAAACTGTCTTCTTCATTGTCTGTTTTGTACAGTCTGTCATATTCACCATCAAATTATTTCCAAGCTCTTTCTGTTCCCATGTGTGCGACCATTATATCCATCGTCAAATTACAGTCTAACCTGCTGTGACGGCCACCTGTATAGGACAATCACCTGTACAAACAGCCACTTCACATTTCACCACTTGCTTCTTTTCTATATTATAACGACACTGTCCAAGACATCCACCTGTCTAAGATAACCACCTTTCTCTTAGACAATGGGTGGCTGTCTTAAAACAATTTCCATCACAATTCCAAAATGTCCCGCGTCCTGATGTGTTGGGCCATCATCTCCATCAACAATCTACTCCCAAAACTCTCTCAGTCCCGGCGTCTTCCATCAATCTCCACGTGTGCGGGTCTCTCACTGCGGGTATCCTGCAGAAGGTCGTGGGTAGCCCGTGCCATAGCCCGGCCCGCCGCGGGAGTAAGGGTTGCCAGGGGCTTGTCCCATCCCAGGAGCTGAGGGGTAGCCAGGGCCTTTAGCCTGTGACAGAAGGGACAAAACGAAACAAGATTATACAAAACGTCAGGGGTAAACTTTTCATTATAGCTTCACTGATGAAATTTGTAGATCTGTAATTTTGACAGCAGATAAAAATGCTGATAGAAATTATAATTGAGACGGGCTGCTAAACACATTATCAAACCTAGTGAGCCTGTAGTACGTTTTCTTTGTTTACAGAGCACTACTGCAGCTGGCGCATGAGGCACTGATTAATTGTTTACAATCATAATATAAATCTGCCAAACCTACGCAAATCCATTTCATCAAATTTTATGACAAATTGAAAAAAAACAACATTCAGTTTAGTTAGTTTCAGTAGAGGTTTTACGGCGCTCGCAACTGCATAAGGTCATATGAGAATATTAGAGGCGTTACAAGAGAGTAACAAACATAAAAAAGAAGGAGGAGAGATAAAGACCATAGACGTTAGATAGGAAAGAAGGAGCAAACCACGCCAGGTCACTAGGAGTTACTCACTGACCAGTGGGTAAAAAGACCAAAGGTCAGGACAGGGCAAAGGTCACCAGAGACCTGCCAACCCCTCCATGACCAGAAAGTTTTCCTCTGAATCCATCCTGAAAATTGGAGTTTGGGGAAAGAATCTCCAGAAACCCAGCAGATTAAGATGACATGACGAGCAAACCGTGGCAAGAAAACATGAATTGCAAATGAATGCAAATGAACCAAAATAAAGATGTGTTTGCACCTCATTTACAATTAGTTGCATACAACCCATTGAAACAGAATGTAAGGAAAAAGAATCTGCTTTAAAGCCAATCCAATCGAGAATCTTCGACGGCCAAAAGAGCAAAAATTGGAGGGCTCTGGTAACTGAGTAAGCAGACAAGTTAGAGGTCAGTAAGCGTAACTCACTGACGAGGCCGATAAGCTCGAGATCCTCGTCCAGCGTGAGTCGTCCCTGTCCGAAGGCGTCTGTGAGGATGACCAGGTTGGGCAGGCTGCAGTGGAGGATGATGCCGAAAGGCTCGGCAGTCTTCCAGGCCATGGGGCTAGCATGGGCCAGGGCCTGGGGAGAGGAACATGAAGAGACACACACTTACATGTCGTTGCTTCAGAATTATTTTGTTCAAAGTGCCTCTTTACTTGAGTACATTTTGGACAAAATAGTTCTGAGACAACTATATGTATATGTACGCATGATACAACACACTTTGGTACATAATATACTCATTGGTTTTACAGCACTTGCAACACAAGGTCATATAAGTGCCGAAGTATAGATGTGTTACAAGAGAGTAACATACACAAAAAAGAAAGAGGAGAGATAAGGACGACAGATGTTTGATAGGAAAGAAAGAGCAAACCACACCAGACCACCCGCCATCCACCCACATACATTCATTCCCAACCACTCAAATACACAAAGACAGACAAACATACAATTCAGACAAACTGCGAGGCCCCAGTACTCACATGCACACGGTATGCCGGGGCCACCTTCTGTTCGAGTTTGGCGAAGGAGTCGAGGTTCCGCGGTCGCCGGGCCTCCATCATGACGCAGACGTCCTTGGGTTTGGCGCAGCGCGAGGGAGCGTCCAGGTAAGAGGTCCAGGAGCTGAGGTCAACCTCTTGCTGGATACAGACGGCACAGAGGGGGTGGTGGGGAGGAAGGAGAGAGAGGAGGGAGGGGTGAAGGGAAGAGATGAAAGTGAAAGTAGAAGGCAATTTTTGGAGGTAGGATAATTTTTATCCAATTTGTTTGGGGGGGTTCAAAGCCCTTTTATAGTCAATTAAAAACATGTATTTCTTTATGAATTTTTACAAAAATAGTGTAGATTAAAGGCACAAAAATATAAATTTGCAATTTCCAAGAACATTTAAGCTATGGGAGTCACCAAACTTTGGGGGTCATTTTCTCAATAGTTTTACCTCCGACACCAAGCAACCCCTCCATCACCTTTAATCCCAAATACCTTCATTTATATTCTTGATAGGTGAGTTTATATTTTTCATCAAAAGCAAGATAGATAAATGAACAAGCTGAAAGATGATATTGAATCAATAACTCCATATACTCAGCAATTGACGAGTGCCTGATTTTACTGTCTGTCCGCGTCGTTTTATGCAAGAAAAATTCTGAAATTATGCAAACTGAGCCCAAAAATGTGAAATTATGCTATTCTGTAAATTATAACAAAGAACGATAAAGGAAAATAATCAGAAATTATGCAAAAAGTGATCAAATTTAGCTAAATTATGCGGGGTGCATAAAACCATGGGGACGGTACTGTGTCGTGACACATTTAGTGTAAATCTGAGGGGTAGCAACAATAGCAGACCCTGCTTTCACACACAAATACTACTGACCACAGGCCCCAGACTGGACAGGCGAATGAAATCGTCTTCCATCTCAGTCCTCTCCGTCACAGCGGCCGCATCCTTGAGCAGCGAGGTGGAGATCAGGTACCCCGTGCGGGCAGCTGCGGCGCGTTGCACCAGCACACTGGCCCCGCGCAATACACGCTGCATGACGCGCGCGTAGCGCTGGTAGCGTATTGTTTGGCTGATCCACTGCACGCTATAGAGGAGGAAGGTGCTGAGTGTCAGGAACAGCATGGCTCCGCAGCAACAGCAACTGACGACGACGAGATGCTAGAGCTACAGCAGACTGCTCATGGTGACCAATACTCTGTCAAAACGTAAATTAGAATAATTAGATAGTCACTGAGCAGTACAGTATGATTGTCCACAGGACAGTGGATCATTCACGCACCGTCTTTCTCAAGTACAGGACAACAGATCGGTGATCAAGACCTGAAATGATGATATCAGATAAAAGCTGGTTAGACAATAGCTTGACAAGCATGAACACTTACCTATACAAGTGTAATTATAATAATGTCATTAATGACCCTATCACACATCACCAAACACCCATCATATCAAATTTGCCTCAAAGAATTTCCATTTTGCTCATGGTGAATATGCTCTGATCAAGATTACAACAACCCCCCCCACCCCCGTCCCAAAATAAAACAAACCCAACTACTACTGAACTACAAAACTTTCCTCTGTGTAACAAACAAAAATAGAAAGACAAAATGTGTGTCTTCCCTCACAGAGGTTCTGACAGTAAACCCCCTTCTATGACAGATCATGAGGCCTGAAAAGAGAAGAACTCTAATGAGAAAGTCATTTTCCATTACTTTTTAATTACTATTTTTATTAAATGAAGCAGCACTCCATTCTTAATCCATTTTTGGACATAGTTCAACTATTTGCATAAAGGTAGTACTAGCATAATAAAAACACTGCCTCTCAAGCAGTTAAATCAATTGATGAAGAAAGTAGATTCTATTAATAAAGTAAGGAACAGAATACACAGTACAGAGTATGGACCTTGAATCATCCGAACCAAGCTCATACATGATGTAACATGCTTCGACTGAATGCCAGGCGGTAAATTTATAGAATTCTACAAGGTCCAAACTCACTTTAGAGTATTTTTTTGCACTATTTATTTTACTGTATTTTAGTGTGCTGAGAACGATTTTGGCACTAAAAACTGTCACAAATCATTAGCTTAGTAGGGGGAGACCCCCTGCACCTCCCCTTTTTACAGGGGGGGGGATATCCCCTCGCACCACCATTTTATTGAGGTGCGTGTATGCACAGTAGACTATTAATTATACTATTATTATACTATTATTGGGGAAGGAAAATGGAAACAATCACCTCGTATATAAGGTGAAGGGAGGACTTCCATAACGAGCGACCACTTACGAGACAGAGTAGAAAAGAGGGCTAGGGGTTGGGGTAGGAGT